TATGAAAAGAGCGGGTGGTATGTAGATTGGAGTATGCAGATAACTTGGAAGAAGGCGAAAGTAGCAGCGAGGAGCTTTGTGCGGAAACTAGAGATACAGAGGAGATACATAATGAGATAATAACCTGACATATCCATAAAAAATAAAACAGCCAAATCCAACTGGTTGTATTTCGAAATTGAACACATGAATAAACTAAGAAACGTGGAGGCGGATAGTGGTAGGGGAACGTATATTGGATAGAAAAGAACTACAAATGACCTGGCACTGAGATTTATAGCATTGAATGTCCAGCAGGTGCTTCTCTTCAACGCTCCCTTTCCGTCGATAAACCCTCGGAGTCTTTTTGGAGAACGTTTTATCACGTGCTCGCACTAAAGTCACTCGGGTTTCGTAGCATTCAGACCGTGCTACCCAACAGACAAGGGTGTAATTCAGGCTCCTGCCAGCAGATTTGTCAAACAGCAGTCACTACTATTACACTTTTAACAAAATTTTAGGACCTGGTGAGCCTTTTATCATTTCTTATGGAAATGTCTCGATATTTCACGCACCACTTACCAGCCCAATGTAACTTCACGTTTTCCTCGAGACTAAGAAAATTTGGTTCGACTGTGTTGCATCCAGTTGTTGTCTGCTTCCTGGCAGAGTGCTGAGTCTCTTGACAGTGCGCAATCTCCCCTCCGGTTCTGGAAACCCCAGACCAAAAGGAAGATAGGGAGGCATTGGACCTGTCTTCCACACCTTATTATACATAATAGTCATTTCTCATTACCAAAATGACCAAACCTGTAAACTGGTTTGTACCCATGCAACCTTTGTTGTATGAAATATATATTATTATTATTGTTTTATAGATATACCTCAAATTTGGGACCCTATCACCCACTTGATGAGGGGCATTAATAAGTTAACGGGAAGAGTTATTATTGTCATCTAATTCATGACTCCGTCAAAGTTGATGGATATCTAATATCCGTTAATATTCGACGTGGTAATTATTAACCTTACATAACAGCTTTGTTTATATTTTTAACATTTTTTCTTTGCTTTTCTGAGAACTGAACAAGGTTTCAGTAGGCTTCTCGGAAAGGAGTATTAGTGAGGCAAGGCTGAAGTCATCTGACCCATCGCCTAGCTTTAAAATTCCCACCCGATATTGCAGTCTGCCACTAAAGTTAACCGAACTTATACCGATGTCCTTGGCGATGTTAACAAATTTAAATCTGACATCATGCGGATCTTGAAAGCTGTTGAGACTAAACGGTGTGAGATGGAATGTTTCCTGTCATGATTCTCCCGTTAGCCTGACAAAATCCAAAGGACGAGTTGACTCTGTGGCCAGTGAAGTAAGCAGTCAAATGCAATCCTTCTTCATTTCACTAATCTTCAGCGTTTGTGACAATTCACCGCTAGACCATCCCCAAGCTGAACGTTTCCAGACATGCGACTTGATTGGCTCGGTTTGTAATGTTCGCCGACTAAGAAAGAAAACAAAAGCTGCACCCCGTTCTACTTCAGTTTAACTCACCGTTCAACGCGACGCACTTCTTTGACCCTCAGTGAATTATATCAAAGCGTGCCGAAGCAGACAGAAACACAAGTAATTCAGGCTGTAGAACAAAATCTCCAAATTCAAGGATAGATTTTCCTCGTCAGTTTCGGCTGCGCAAGGCCCGTCTGCCCAGGAGTATAACTTCGTTTGACTCTCAACGTGTATTGATTCACAACCAAATGTCACAAAGCCCACAGCCATCCCCTTAACTGTTCAGAGTAATGGGCTTCAGTTTTATCCTGGTCAGCACATAAAGGCCAGACTAAGCAATGCCCATTCAGAGTTTGCGGGGAACCTACCCTCTGGAACCCCTTGGAAAATACATCCCCTTCAGTCCCTCATAAAATATTAGCACCTCTGGGTACGTGGGTGATGACATATTCAAGACGGCTGCCATCGGCCATAACTAACAGCTAATTTAACAGCAGAAATACTGTGATGACATCTTCACAGTTCCATCGGCCAACGAATGGTCGGCCATCGCCTGAAGCAGTGGGTAGTAGTCCGGTGTGCAAAGCTGTAAAACTTGCTTATGTCCCGACATCTCCCACCCCATGTCCTGTAGATTTAAATGGTAATCATGAGAGCACATTTCCATCCAGTCCTCTAGATAACAACCTTCTGTTTGGCCCCATCACAGTTCTCCGTTGTTCTGATGTCACTGCTTGTGCTTACATGTAACTGAAAGACAGGCAGTATCAAGATATCTGTACGAGCGCCTATATGCCAATTAAGAATGATCAATTCGGTTCAGTCATCGACAGTTTAGTACGAGCAAAAACATCAAAACTATACCCGTCGTGCAAGAAGTGGCTGGTGTGATTCGGTGGTCTGGTGGATAACGATCGGTGTCGGGTCCGAGTTATCATGGGAACAACGTCGCATACTGGAAGGCATGTTCGTCCAGACGATGAGTCTTACCTAAGACGGAACGCGGTCTTGGGTTCCACCCTCTCCACTGTCTACCACTTGTATCTCTGAGGGTCTGTCTAACTCACGCTCTCTTTGCAAAAAACTGAGCCATCCGAACTCTTCAACCTAATCGATCGAAGCTTGCAGAATGCTAATCAATAAGCCCCCAGGCTCGCCTTAAGTAGCCACAATTTTTGCAGTAATAGCCGCGGTTCTTGCAAAGGTGTAGGTTACGTTGCCCATGTTTGCTCTGACTTTCCACCGCCAATCACCCCTCTGTCGAGCTGGGACCTTTCAGATGAAAGCAGTATTTGTGGATATCCGCACTTGTCAACAATACACAATTGTGGTTTGTCGTCTATGTAGGTCACCGCACTCTGGACCTGTTGAAATCGTTGTACTGCACAGTGGAATTGAGTTTTTGATGGGTAAACTTGTATGTGTATAAAATAGCATAGGAAAGCGTTCATACTCTGATGTATTGATTGTCACTGAATAAGTACTGAAATTTTTTGTATTGTAACATTATTTCAAAGGAGTAAACTGCTTGTCTTTTGGGAGATTCAGCATGATATTTTGTTTTTTGCTGAGCTGTGAGTAATTATATTCTACTCACATGGCTTTCAACTATGAATTCTACCCACCTCGGTTTAGATATAAAGTTATGATTGTATATCCCTTTTACATTAGACTTTTCTGGTTAAATTGGGAACAAATGTGTATTTTGTGTCGAGCACAGTTAGTCAACATCAACATATGACATGGTATCACTACTTAACTGTCTAAATTGTCACACATATCAACACACTAAGGTTAGATGATAACAAAAGGTGGGGAAATAAGGAAGAAAGCAGTGGAAGAAATCGAAATTCGTGAGAAGAGTAGAAAGAGTGAAATAGTCATGGAATTGAGTGTGATGATTAAGGTGTGGATATTGTGTTGACATTTATTCTGAACCATATGAAATGGTCTCTAACCAATAACAACTTTGGTTGTCATACGGACCCCAATCGGGTAGTCTGCATTTCCCTGCATGCTTCAATTCATCAGTTACAGACATCATGGACTGATGTTATGTTTTAGTGTATCTGCGTCTAACCTTTCTCCATCTTGGACTTTCTTCAGTTGGTATTCATTGGACGACGACGTGGTAGACAGTGATTGGGCATGCGTAACACATGTGTGAGCCATCTGAATGCGTGAAGGTTCACAGACGCATCAACTGACTTGCGTGTTTTGTTTAGTTAGTTGTGGTGGTGTGTGATCTCACGGAGACACCATCATATGAAACCACGCATTTTTTTTATTGGACGACCATAACTATGCTCAAACTTATTGCTGCATTATTACAATGAAGAAGTATCACTATCCTTGGTAAACGTGATGAGTGAAGCTTGTTATCACGTGCAGTGGTGTGTTGAGTATATCACATGTCTGTGTTGTAAACGCCTAGATCTGCATAGAACATTGTTTAATAATCTAAACATTTTTATGTTGTTGTTTTTGCGCCATTTTCATGGCATGGCTAGTAGTTCATTTCCCCCCTGTTTTCAGTGTAATTCGCTGATTGGTTAGTGCTTGCTTTTACTGTGTTAATGTTTCAAGTTCTGGACAAGGTCGTGTGTCATGTATAGATATATACACGTGTTTTCGGGTTAATTGACTATTCTTCTTTAAGGTAGTAAACTCTTGCATGTGGTTCAGTCTTCTCTATTTCGTTTGTGGTTGGAGTCGGTAGATCTGGCGTAAGAAGTTAGCTATCAGTCAAGCGTGTGTGCTATATCTTCTCGGGAACATAAGAATCTCTTTATATGAACATGTATTAAACACAATAACACTTGACGAAGGTAATAGTAGGCACGAAATCATTGTGTCAATCTGATTTGTAACTCGTCAGTCGTTCACATGTTGTACAATTAGCTGAAACTGAAACTAACGGAATTAAGATATTTTAGTAGATATACAAATCTGTAGAGTGAAGTATTCTTGTATCAAAATTTGTTTGTCACATCGCAACGTTGTAGTTGAAAACTAGTTTAAGTTAATTTCGAGTTGTAGCACAGAATCTGCTTGCGAACATTGTTTTTTCCATGGTGAAGCGATCCTTTTTGAAGGGAAGATGGTTAGTGAACATGTTGGAGATCTTCCAGACAATGAAACCTTTTCGCGAAGTTACTTGTTGTGACTTGGAGTCATATGTTCGAGTATGAACTGGACTTCTGAAGAGTTCTCGGGGTGGTCGGAATCAAATGATGACCATATTGACTTTAATTTAGTTTTTGAACACTTTGCATTCTTCTTTATTTGTCTTTTATGCTTTGATATCCCTCCGTAATTCTTCTTGTGATCCTCTGTATTAACGCTGTTTGTAGAAGTATGATACCTTGAGCCGATTAACTGTTGGGCATTTGAATAGATTTCTCATTGTGCCCATCTATTTATTTCGCTAGAAAGGAGTTTATTGAAGACATCTCTCTCACTTCAGTAAGAATGAACTCATTTATACTATTTGACTATTCTGTGCAACATTGATATGATACATTTCTCAATGTTGAACTTGGTTTTCTGTTTCCAGTTTACTGAAGGTATTCGACCAACTCTAGCTGAACTCGAACGATTTCATCATACTCCGGATAGTTTACAGATAGCTGCTAACGCTGCGGCTACATTGACTACAGGTAGTAATGCAGAGGTAACGTTAAGTCATTGTTTCACACCTGGAGATGTTGTTGAAGTATGCGAAGGGGATCTTAAAAATCTTCGTGGTAAAGTGGTTTCAATTGAAGGCAATAACAGAATTATTGTTCAACCGAATCATTCTGATCTACATGAACCGATACCTTTTACACCGATTGAACTGAGAAAATTTTTCAGTCAAGGTGATCATGTTAAGGTATGTACTACATCGTTTATCTTATGTCAAGAAGACTGTATTGTTATTATTATATTTGAAATGACTTTGAATTTGTTATTATTTTAATATTTCTTGGATCCGATACTGACTTGAGTATTTGATTTATTTTAATTCTCTTTCACATTATCTGAATTTCTCAAAATGAGGATGTGTTGGGATTGTTATCAGATTGCACAGGTTTTCAGCATATTTCCTGCGAACAACGTTTATCCCGTCATGAGATTTCAAATTTTGTAGTGTATTGTTTGGTTGGCATAAACACTTGAGAACACTTTCTTCCTCTGTTTCTCTCTTTCTGGGTTTGAGCTGATCTGCGGAAACTCTTCGGTATTAGATTAGAAAAGCTGGACAATGTGACTTTTGAATGTTACACCCACTGGTTTTCATTCAGAAGGTGTCTAGTGCATCTAATTTTTTGTAAGATTTTCAATATTGTACCGATAGTTGCTACCTTGACGTGGTGATCATCGGTGTTGGATATCACGGTGACTGAACGAGTTCTACTGGTGGGAACACTTGTTACCTTGATATCCTACCATGCTAGAAAGGTTTGTTTGTAGATAGTTTTTGTCGATGGGTATGATAGTAGTAGGGTGCTTCCTGTTGTTGACCGATGGTACTATGCTGATGTTGCCTTCCCTATGGAAGAGGTGTTTGGAAAGGTTGTCCTTGGAAATGGTAGACTGGATCTTGTTTTGCGGTTTTCCAGTGCAGGTGGTATTGGTTTACAGCTGAGGTCGAAGGAAACCGACTGAAGTCATAAACTTCCGGAAGGGCTATGTGTGAGAGATGTCAATCAATTGTGGCTTGGGATCTGGGGCCACTCACGACTATTACTAACCCTCATTTTCCAGATACGTTGAGAAGAAAGAACCCTATAGGGAGTGGTCATGCATGAGGTGTTGACCGTCTTCAAAATTCTGTCATTTCAAAAGTCTCGGTAAAGCTCAACTAAAGTATCGTTGACTTGAAGGACTCTTATGCCGAGACACTGAATTGTCTCTTGAATACCCGTTTGATATGAATAAAAGGTGGTGTGGTGGAAATTTGTGTAGCATTGTATTGGACATATATATTCAGGTAGTATTGCTGCTAAATTAGATGTATTTTCCGCGTCCGCTGAACGTTTTTTGTACTGGCAGCCAGTCTTTCCAATGTAATGTTACCAAATGGAAGTTGTGTGGCGATGAGTAATCGAATATCACAATATATATGTAAATTGCACTGAACACTACCCTTGTCACTTGGTTTCGTGATGACCGAGAAGTGGGAAAGTGATAAGATCCAGTAAAAAGTGCTAAGTTCATATAATTGATACTTGAGTATATTCAGTGTTTCATGGTTTATTTGGATGTGTACATGATAGATGTATAGCACATTCTAGCGTGGTACTGCAATAAGAAATTACATCCAGTGGCAGATTAATTCGGGGGAAAGCACAAAAGTGATCTTATTTAAAAATACATGCACTACTGGCTGAAGTCATACAGGCGAACATCGGCTTTGTGATTGGTGTTCATGGGATAACTGATGTCAACGATAAGAGACTCGAAGAGGCACAATTCGTAGTCAACTGCAGTACTGTGTGTGCATTAATGGTCTAGCAGTATCTGTCAATGAAAGGGGTGGGGAGTAAGTGTATGACTCTGTTGAAGGCTGTTTACTCGAACAGCTGGGCGTTTTTTTGTGTCTATGACTAGTTTTCAGGTGAGGTGTTTACATGGAGTGGTTTCCGTCAAGGATATCTAGTCTTCATTCATGTTCACTCTTGTCGTAGATGTTCTTCTAGGGGTCTACTTCGCGTCATCTGATATCAGTGATTGTTTTAATCATAGGAAACTCCTTGATAGATTTAGAGTACGGAGGTGACATAGTTCTGTTAGGTGACGATGCTGAACAGATGTAGAGTGTTCTGAAGACGTTGAGTGTCAATTTGCTATTGTTTGGGATGCTTTTCTCACGACTGAGATGTAAATTGTTGCTCCATGACTGGTACTTAGAAGTGCTTCAGCTAATAGTAGGTAATGAAGTGGGGAGTGTGTTGAGCACTTCAGTTGCCTTGGGAGTGAAGTGAGCCCTGGTGACTCAGTGACCGACGAAATCTGTGCACGGATACAGAAGGCTTGAGTGGCTTTCACTAACTTGTGGCATCTGTGGTGCCGCCGCGATATCCGATTGTCTAGTGGGAGGTGAGTGTACTACACTACAGTTCAGTTTGTTGTGACAGTAGAGGATAAGGGGAGGCTTCAGTTTTTCGACCACCATTGGCTACGAAGCATAGATCGTGTTTCATCATGTCGGTAATGCAGAAGTGAGTTGTAGAGTTGTAGGAGGGTTGGGAAGAAAGTGAGTTGATGAGGTTGTGAGCATTCGTCGACTGAGTTGTCTGGGACGTGTGTTACTCATGCGTAGTCACCGCCTGCATCATCGTGCAGTGTTAGGGTAGGGGAATTAGTTTAAGGCTGCATAAGGGTTGGAGACGGTGATACTAAAACATGGCATCAGTGCATGAAATGATTGACTGTTGGTCTGAGTCATGTAGAGAGTGTAGACTATGCGGTTGGGTACGCTGATAACATTAAGTGTAGGTGAAATGGGTCAGAATGGATGTCAACAAGGCAGATGTATCCGCATGCATAAGCTATCTTCATGTTTTTGGTTATACTGAATTCAGCACCTCCTCATTCCTCCTTACTGTTTTTTACTGGTTTGTATTGGTTTTGTTGGATTCTTCTTTATTTCCTTATCTTTCATCTTATTGCTTTGTTACTTGATGTGGTGATGTGAAGTGTGGGAAGTTGAACTGGTATGGAGTAATAGCTGGTGCTATGTTGATATTGTTGATGATGATGGTGAACTTGGACTGGTACGCAGGAAGTAGTAATGCGTGACTCCGATTGTACATGAATTGCACTATACGTCTATTTCTGTTTACTTGACCACAGAAGCGTTATTGTTGCTGATACAGCTTGAATATTCACATTGACCTTTATCCTCTGATTGTTTATTCTCTCTCACTACTTTATCTTTAATATCAGTCTTTCCGTATCCACCTGTTCTTTGTGTACTCCTGTGAAGTGTGGCAAGTTGAGCCGAAGCATGTGTGTGCGAGGTTTTCAGTTGATTTTGCCAGTTAGTCAGTTAGTCAGTCAGTTAATGATATAGTTGGTGTCAAAGACCTTTCTATTCTATTTTCTAAAAGCCTACTTCAACAGTCAGATGCAGGTTAAATAGGTTTAGCGTGGGTAAATGGTGTGTAAACGAAGCATATTTGTCATGTCTGAAAGAAACGAAGAAAAGCATATTTCCAACTTCTTCCCACCTCATGGATGTCAGTTTTCCTCTGAGGGTTATTTTAATTGTCTGTAGGTGACATGCATTGTGGGAAGGGTTGCGCTACTAGCCAATGCTTTTGAGGGTTGACGGCTAACGACTTGAAGTTGTTGTTATCGCATATTTTGTGTTTCTTATAAGAATACGAGTATGTTAGTAGTTGAATTTTCTTGTCGAGCAAAGTTCGTTACAAGCGCTTTTGAAGTTTCTTATTAAAATTGAATACACACGAGTTATGTAGATAGGGAGCTGTTGGTTATTGATGTAGGCGGCTGACTTCTTGGATTCGAGTCTCACTCTACTTACTGTGGTTTAGGTAGCCATGTGGAGTGTCATTAGCTCTCACACAATGTGTGTGGCTGATTGTGCATAGTGCACGAATGTGCACTAGGTGAGTTAGTGCGTTCTCTTGGTTGCAAAGGATTTCTGCTCAATGAAGTAATACTACTTTTTGTGTAATCGGTTTTCTCATTGTCTCTTTACGCTTATTCTATGCTTCTATTATATATTGATTCATATTTTTGTTTATCAATTGTGATTTGTTATTCCACTGTTCTCATTGTGTGTTGTAGGTGCTCAGTGGTCGACATGCTAATGAGACTGGTTTAGTGATACGTTTCGATCCTACTCTAGCTGTTGTCCTATCTGATCATAGTATGAATGAAATGAAAGTTGCTCCGAAAGACTTACGTTTGTGGCAAGATCGTGCTACAACTGTTGAGTCATCTGGACATGTTCAACTAATGGATCTAGTACAAGTTGATCCTCAAACGGTTGGTGTTGTTGTCCATGTGGAACGGGATCAAGTGTCTGTCTTGACGTGTTTTGGTAAGGTGGTCAATTTGAAGTCGAATACAGCATTGCGTCGATTGAATAGTGTTCGTCGACCACCACCACAGGCGTTGGATCGTAATGGGAATTCTATTCAGTTGAAACAAATGGTTCGTATATTAGAGAAACCTCATTGTGGATTAGTCGGTGAAGTGAGACACCTATATCGTTCGTGGGCATTCATTTATTGTCGTACACATTTAGAGAATGCTGGACTTGTTGTTGCCAAAACTCGTCAATTATCTGTGTTGACGACTTCGCAAGGTGGAAATGATCAGCAAGGAAGTAATGAAGCTGGTATGTCGGTGAAAACGGTCACACCTGTTGGAGGTGGTGGTGCTCGGAACTTTGGTGGTGGCAATGGTGAAGGTGGACGGGGAAGAGGTAATCGTAACGAACGTCAACTGGTCGGTAGAACAGCTTTAATTGTTAAGGTATGTTTAGTTTTATTTGATTTGAAGATGTGATTTCGGTGTTTATCGGTTGTCGGTCTGCCCCTGAATTATTTGTTTGTTAATGTGCATGTGTTTCATCGTATTCGGGGACACTTTGACGTGATACACTGATCACGGCATACAAGTTCCAGTTGGAAAGAAGTTATATATTGTATTTGAGGTAGCCACTCTTCGTAAAAGTTTATCCTTTTCTTTAGACTGTTGCTTACAATTGAATTTAATTCTGTTTTTTTATGATTTATGTGAAACAGAGAACCGCAGTAAATAAAAGGCGGACAGCAGTGTGTATAATAGTCAGGCTGATGTAATTTGTGGATAGCTGATTTTTGTCAGTCAACTGTAGTTTTATGTGTGGCATTGAATTGAATTGGAGGTGTCAGACTTTGTGTTGTTATACTTTTTAGGGTAAAAAGGAAGCGCAAGTTATTTTTTGGTGTCTTTCTTAATCTCTCATGTTATTCTGTTAGCGAGCGTGTTGTTTGGTTACTTCCTACTGTGTCCACCATTGCTGCCGATGTTTTCGACACAGGGATTTCCAGATTCCCAGAGTATATTGGTGTGTATATGTGATCCAGTGTTTCAGTTCGCTAATCGTTACTGACGTGTTCGTGAAACTGCTGAGTGTGTAGTTTTTGTTTTACGTGTAGACCTGGAGAAGGAGTTAGGTGAATAATTGAATGTAGTGGTTTATAAATCACTGTCGACTGAAAGATTGGCATCATTTGTTCCTCATGTCCATTTGTTATTTTCAGTAGGGGATAGGAAGCGTCAGCATACTGAATTGGGTAGGACTGTGCAGAAACCCATGGCAACGGTTGGTGTTTGGCCTTGTACATATCCGAAGCTGTAGGCTTACTAATGAGATAGTGAATAGATGATGATATTATTGAAAAATCATTTTCTTGTTCACTTTATTTGATCATGATTTTGTTTTATTCTTTCCGCGTTTGGTGTCCAGGGTACATTGAAAGGTCTGTTGGGTATAATTTGTGATGCGACACCGACACATGTAGTACTGGAATTACACAGTCAATTCAAGAAGGTGCCTGTAGCACGTGAGAATATGGCTTTGTTAGACAGTGGTGGTCGTATTATGGAGACACAGTATGGTGCTACTGCTACACCTCGTATTACACCGCTGCGTGAAATGCGCACACCACAGGTGAGAGTTTTGTGTGTGGTGTTTTTTCTTTTAAGTGGAAAATTTGTATTGGAATGTATAAAGTGTGTGATGCGTATTATGTGACCAGTATGTTGTGATTGAGTTTATTGTGAAACTAGTATGATAGTTCGCGATCCATATATATTGTTGGATTTGTGTAAGTTATCTGTGCAGTGTTATCACTTGTTTGTCCAAATCTCAGCAAGTGAAATGTATGTGGATGTTTTGCTGAAATGTCTGGATTGGAATACTCTTCAAGTGAACAAATGTTGTAGTAGGATTTGGTTCGGTTGCAACAGTAGTAATAATAATGGAAGGAGTATCGTATAATTTTATTCCCGTTTTATTGTGATAATCGCTAATATTTGTTTACACTTGAGATAACTGATGTTTAGTGAATTCGAGTATGAAGCAAATCAATTTTGATGCTTTTGTGTTTGATCAGAATGTTATTATTTTCTCTTTTTGTGTGTGTGTTTGAAAACAGTTGGCGTATGGTTCCCAAACCCCTCATGCAGCTAGTACGACTCCACGTGGTGACAGCACTCCGTTACCGAGTGCATTTAACGCTGGTATGGCTACACCGAAAATCAACAATCTTGATGATCCTATGACTCCAAGTTCTAGTAAGTTTTATTACTTAGATGTTTGTGAAATTTGAGGCATCATTCATTTAGTCTAAGTTGACATTTCAGAGACGGGATACTTTTTTATGATGATACAGGGCACCACCGGGTTAATCTGTGGTCACAAATGAAACTGTAACATAGAAACGGATGAATCCATTGTCTGTCCACGGCTTGCGTTACATTTACTGCCTGTAGAGTAGCCAATGGTTTTTTAGTAGAAGTGTGAAGCTTGGTCATTGTGGTAGATTGTAATTCGTATTAGGTTTGTTTATTTAATTTATAACACAGTGTAGTGTGACACAGTATTATTTACTTGATGACCACGTTTCAAGCATAAATTATCATTGCTCATAATTATATCAATGTAATCACAGCCGTTCAATCTGTGTATTTTATCTTTCAGTCATTGCATTGGATTTGGTAGATTAGATTACATAACTTAATTGAATCTGTCGGATATTGAAGCCGACATGGCCTATCTGTCAGTGAGATTGTAGGTTTAAATGTCACCCTATTTCTAGCTTTGTTGAAAATTTCACATGAAGTTTCTGATGTCCCTTCGTTATATGATAAAACAATGGAGGTCTTCAACTCTTTTCTACTCGTGTTGTCGCTGTTATTCTTATTCATATTACTGTTATCATCTCGTTTCTTATTTGTTTTTAGGAATTTCTGAATCAACTGTAGAGGGTAGTCATTAATAAGTAGCGCTTCTTTTATGCATTTCTATTCCTTATTTAAGTTTTCGTACTGATTAGTGTCCTGAAACTTGAAGACTGTGAAGGTCGGATGCAACTCTACGCTGAATATGATTTCATATATATAAGCTTCATACATAGTCAGACGGAAGGAGTAGCAATGGGATCACCAATATCTCCAATCCTGTCATATTTATAAATGGATAAATGTGAAAATATGGCTTTACAAACGTTTAATCCTGCACCAAAGATTTGGTGGCGATATATAGACGACTGATTTACTGTGTTGAAATTGGAACACATATGCACTTTCTTCATACATATAAACTCAGTAGTAGGTGCAATCCAATTCACTTATGAGGTAGAGAAAGGAACAAGGAGAATTATATATGCTGGATCCCGGGATAAAACAAAGGACAGACGGTGGTTTTGATACTACTGTCTACAAAAAACCGACGGATTCCAACAGGTATCTAGACTTCAGGGCATCTCATCCATGTCAGTTAAGGCCAGCTTATTCCAATTTTTAAGTAATAGAAATAGGGAACTGACTAATCAGTTTACGGACTTAGACAGGGTTTTGAATTACATTAAAGAACCGTCATCATGTTATTATTATTTGTCCATTGGGTTCCTAGTGGGACATAGGGCTTCAACAGCACATCTCCATTGCATTCTGTAGTCTGCAGTCTTTTCAACCTGGATCCGCGACTGCTCAGAAGCTTTCATTTCTTCCTCACATGATCTCCTCCATGTCACCCTCGGACGCCCAACTCGTCGTTTCCCCTTTGAATTCCAGTGTTACTAATTAATAACTATCATCTACAGTTGTACAGTAGTAGATTGAATTACATCGTGAGGAAATCCAAAAAGATAATAATAATAATGATAATAGTAATAGTAATGATAATAATGCTGACGATGATTAAGTTACCTAAAAGTATAATAACAATTAAAAAAGGAATGATAATAAAGTAGGTTAGGTAATATATGGAATCGTTCATATACTGTATGCAACTCAGCAAGCGGTGTAAAATTGATGAAAATGGTAAATCAACCCCCTTTTTTATTCTGTTACATGAAGCTTTATTGAGAATATTTGAGATGCTTTTCCTAGTTGGCACCCAAATTTAAATCGTTGCTCCAAGACTGGTCTTGAGTGATGCCTTATCAACAGGTTTTCAACCACTGTTGCCTTCGTAGCATAAGCCTTCTTATATCCTCTTTCGTTAATGACCGTTTCTCACAGCCATGTAGTAGAAGGAAGCAGAGCAGTACACTCCACTCTTAATAGACAGTCGGATATCATGATGGCGCCATAGATGGCGTAAGCTGGTGGAGAGCAAGCGAGTCTTTTGTATCCATGATGAGATTTCTTCGTCTGTTTCCCTACTACACCTGATCTGATTTCTTAGGTAAGTGCAGTGTGGTCAACGCGCTTCACTCCTTACTAATAATAAGGCGTTACTGAAGACCACTCTTGAAGCAACAATTTACATTTGGGTATCAACCGGGAAACACATCTCAAAAGTTTTCAATAAAGCATTATGTAAAAGGATTAAACAAGTTGGTCGCCTTACCACTTTCATCATTTTTACACTGATTGTTGAGTTATATATATTCGATGACCGACTCCATATGTTACGTAATCTACTTTGTTATCATGCTTATTTCAACTGTTATTATAATTATAAGTACCTTTATCATTGTCAGCATTATTATTATCATTATTATTATTATCGGTTTAAATTTCCTCATGGGATATACGTTTTCAAGTCACATATATATAGGAATGTGCAGCGTGAAATTCATTGAAAAGAGTCTCTTCCCTGAATATCTTGTTTCCATTATAGCAGGTTTAACGTGAAGCTAGACAAAAAACTGAGAATACTGGATGAATAAACCACTAGAAAGGCAAATACTGCTAGATGATATCACTTCAAGGTTTCTCGATAATCGCATAACAACTAATATTGGTTTACAATGACAAATTATTTGTTGGTACTGTTCTAGTTATATATGAGGCTGAGGAAATTATTGATAACCAATCACTATAACAAGTTGTTCAATGTTTCCTTATAAATACGAACTATTGAGTGAATAGGACTGCGAATAATCCCTACATGTGATTTTGCAAGCTTAACAATTCGAAACTATGTTTTATCATCTCTGGTTGTTGACTCGTAGGTTCAGGCTGGAAAAAGGCCCGAGGTGGCCAGACTAAAACATGGCACCAATGTATGAAGTCTCTAACTGTTGGTTTCAGCCATGTGGGACGATGCAGACCAGGTGGTTGGGGTCCACGGGACAAGAGGAAACAGTGGTTGGAGACTCTAGGTGATGACATGGCTGAGAACCGATGTCAGTGGCGCAGATGTATACACAAATTATCCTCATCTTAACGACACTATACCGAATCTCACCATTTTGCCACTCCTCTTTTCTTTCTTCTCTTACTTTATATTTCTTTTGACTGCATTATCTTATCTTCATCTTTCACCTCACTACCTTTCTACTTGACGTACTGATATCAGCTGTGGCAACTCAGACCGTTACACAGTAGTGCCTAGTCCTAGGTTGATCTGGATTCGTCTATACCGAATTAATCGGCAACTGTTGAGATAAAGGCTGTTGTGTGAATGCCTCGATATGGATAATAACTTTATTTTGATGGTAACGGGATGAGTGTTGACTAGCAGTGAAATTCATGACAAGTGTTTCGTCCTTTTCCGAAGTCATCAGTTAATTATATACTTATCTTTCTGTGAGTATTGCTGATCCCACTGAGATTCAGATTAAGAAAAAGATGAAATATGTGTTCTGGATATCACTGTTCTAGCCACTATTTATACTTTATTCATGATAGTATGTTATTCACTTCTAGATACAGTCAGTAGGCAATGAGCCACACTTATTGTATGCAGGGTAATTATGCTACCTGCCTGCCCACACCTCGGCTGGTTGAGTGAGTGGTATCCGAACTCGTGACCGACTGGTTCGACAACTGGTATATTTTGTTCTTCAAGCTATGAGTGGAATTTCTGTCTTGGCTTTATATGTAGCTAATACTCTCCTTTTGCATTGTCTTTTTTAAAATTAGGTTTTCTATGGACTTCAAGTGATCTTCATCGCATGTCTGGTTCCAGTACTCACTCATTATCAGATAATGAGTAGAAGATAAGAAGTATATGATATTGTTAAAGCCTATATTATTTAATTCATAGTTTCAGCTTCGATGAGATAAGGATGACTTTGATGACGGTGGGGATGTGACCAGTTTTCTTGTTTTCGTTTGTGTGTTTGGTTGCCTTTTACGGTATTTTGGGGTGTTAAATTGTGTTCAACACACTAGTGTAATAAGTCAGATTACTCTTCATCGCTTGAGAATTTGTGAGTGTGAACCTGTTAGTTTTCTGTTTTGATGACTTAAACATGATAACTGTACTGCAGATGGTGTCGCTTTATGCATAAAGAAATCGGAATTATGTGTACAAAGGAAACCTTTGTTGCTACTTTGGACCTAGTAAATTGCTAACAATACCTTGACCTATATATCTATCTCCTATTATTTGCAGTTTTGTGATACATATTTTAATAACCCAATATCGTCTGTTAACATTTTACTTGCTCTCGTTTGCCCAATGGAATATTCCCTCTGTATTCCTTTTTATATCTGCAGTTTTATACTACTTAGTATCTTTAAGTAGTATAGTTCATGCTTCCGTATAATGTTGCTTCACCTACATCTTTGTTCATTGTGTTCAGTTGTATCTTGTTCATCATTTAACATCAGTAGATATTGGTATCTTTCACAGTTCATGATGCTGTTGTAATTTCTTACGGTGTTTTGTGATGTTCTGTTTTACCTTGAAAATCTTGCGTCTTAACCTCATCGCGCGTCCTTTATATTCCACTCAGGTAGCTTTGACACAGTTTTGCTGTTTTTACTATTGACGCGCTCTTTGTAGAGTGCTTCGATAACGATAACGCAGGCATATGAAGAGCAAATCAAGAGAGAAGCAGGAAGGGAAATGAAACGCAACGGGCAAATGACTATCTTAGTGGAGAGTACTATATTTGATGACTACTGCACAAAATGTAAATAATAGACATTCCTTCCTTCGTATCTGTCTTCTCATTTCCTACAAGTGGGGTAGCTACCTATGGACGTGGTGAAGATTCCGTAGTCTACAGTGTTTGGGGATGGAGATATCAAGGTCTTCTTCAGAGACTTCGAGTGAGTCGCAGAGCTGGTGGGTGTCCGGGATCAAGGAGCGAAGGTCGTGGTGCTGGACACGTTGCTGAGGGGCAGAGCGAAAGCTGCATATGACGGGTGGAACGCGGAGATGGGAAGGAGACTTGGTAGATAATAGTTGAACGATTGGAGGTGGAGTTTGACAGCTCAGCGAACAGGGAGCTGGCGATGCAGCAGTTCCGGAGCACGAAACTTGGAATAGACGACCCGCTGGTATTGGCTGCTAAGATGACGAGCACTCTTACGTTGGATGAGGACTCCCAAGAGCGGTTATGGCGAATGAAGTCGCCGATAAATATATCTTAACTGAACTTCTTGTTTTCTCTAATGTCTTGATGGGGTATTTTCAATGATGTCCTTATACGATAAATGTCTAATATGTCAAAACGGACTTCGGGAACTGCTCCAAATGAATGGTTAACAGTTAAGATGATTTCTTTTCGTCTTCCTAGTTATTTTTTCTCATGAAGGTTGGAAAGTATCCACATAAGTCCATCAGAGATGATGTTGAACTAAACTTCAGTGATAGGAAAGTTTAAATACGACTAGTCAGTTTGCAGACACAACATTTAAGGTCATTCGTGTGTGTTCATATACCTTATGAACGGTACATTAGCTGTTGATGAGTTTTAGCCAAGATTAGGTTATCATTTATAGGAAGAGTATTGGATTGCTTTCAAGAAGCTTAGATAGTGAATGTGATGTGGCGATGCCATGTGTACGTAAGAAGGAGCGAAGAGATGTTTTCATCTCTTGTTGTCCCATCTGTCTCACGGAGAAATCGTTTCTCGAAGGGTCTCATTTAACTCTTCAAGAAACAATCATTTTAGTGTTACACTGTGGGTTGTTAAGACACCTGATATGTGTGAGGAGGTCTTGTAGCTGTTAGTGAAGTAGTCTGAATGGATTGGTATTAGCAGCTCATGGATATTTGCTTGTAGCTGAACTGCAGACTGGATATCAAGTTTGGAGCTAGTGATGAGTTTGTTTTTGGGAAGCCCTAATATTCCCGACGAGGGAAACTTCGACAGGACTGAGTAAGTTGTGTATGTATATATATATCTTGGACAATGGCAGATATTTGGTGTAGACGATAGAAATAGGAAGAAAGGAAATAGTGGATTGGAGAAGATTGGGTGTGAATAGTCTTTTCTGGTAGTTGTAGAAAAATGGATAGATTTGGGAATGACTAAATACACATGTGCTTGGAAGTTATGGATGTCGTTGTCTGGCATGGGGATTACTTTCTCACAGTTATTGGTGATATAAGGCACATCGCTGATTCGAAAACTACAGTTTCATATAAACAACATTGAAATAAAGTGGAGTTGCATTTGAAAGTTGGTAAGGTGTTTAAAAGAATCAGGACGGGATACGACATGGTCTCATGTAGATGAGTGGCGATGCGGATAGTGGTATGATTTCATAGATGATGAACTTGTTGAAAATGTGGATATCTTTAATTATGTAATACAGATTTGCGAATAGAAGACAATTTTCATGATTGATTGTGATGTTCTTCATGTGCTCTAATCTGATCGGTGAATAAATACTCGAAAGTGATTGGTCATCACTAAAGTGTTTAGTTGATGCCAAAAAACAGAGAAAGGTAAGTTTCACTATGGGATATATATATATAGTTATGGAAGAGCATAAGGCGGATAATTAATATGGTGAATATAATCAATTACATACATGATGATGCATTGTTTACAGTTATGATGTTATATTTTTGCATGTACTCTGAGGGAGAACTGCATTTCTCTTTGCAGTTTAGAGAAGTAGTCAGAGAATTGATGGTGTGTAGTTTGGAGTGTCTTGCGACTTAAAGTTTATTTGAGAAAAGAAGTAACTCATTTGAATGTGCTATAGGTTATATGCTTTAATTATGTCGATTGATGTACGTTCAGATTAGATTTAATTTTCCTTCGTAATGGTGTGGAATCGGATTATTGTTCAAGGAATAATAATAATCGCTTTATTCCAAACAATATGGTTTATACGGTATGGAGTTCTTAGAAAGTTGACTACCGGAACAATATATTCAAACGAAATGATTACTTCATCTGAGTAATGTTAATAATGATAACACTAATATAGGTAATAATGTTGAACAGTCATCTGGTGTTGAATTATCTTCCGATCTAGAATGGAGAATATACATAAAATCGAACGTGAGTTTGGTGATGACGGTTCGTTTAGTCAATAGAAGAATCTACTATTCGAGTTAAGCGTGTGAGATTTGGAAGATATGATGAGTTTTTGCACAACGTAAAGTCCATTTCCGTCAAACTTGACATATTTTCTTTGTTTTTTTGTATATTCGATTAACGGGTAGAGGGAAACATTTTAAAAACGGTGCAGTGGTATATGGCACGTTTATGTGACATAGTGAAATGATTAAAACAATTTGAAATCAAATGCTTTTGACGTATATCTCTGTTGGCAGATTTTGGAAGACCAATCAATCAATATCAACATAGGACCAGACATTACTGTGTAACGGTCTGAGTTGCCACAGCTGATATGAGTACGACAAGTAGAAACGTAGTGAGGTGAAGGATGAATATAAGATAATGCAGTCAAAAGAAATATAAAGTAGGAGAAGAAAGAAAGGAGGAGTGGCAAAATGGTGAGATTCGGTATAGTGTCGTTAAGATGAGGATAATGTGTGTATACATCTGCGCCACTCACATCGGTTCTCAGCCATGTCATCACCTAGAGTCTCCAACCACTGTTTCCTCTTGTCCCACGGACCCCAACCACCTTGTCTGCATCGTCCCACATGGCTCAAACCAACAGTGAGAGACTTCATACATTGGTGCCATGTTTTAGTCTGGCCACCTTGGGCCTTTTTCCAGTCTGCACCTATTTCGGCCAACATTGTGCGACCGTCTGGCGGGCCGGTGGTTTTGGTTCATTTTGGTAGACCAGGTTTCAAGCATGTTGCCAGGTCGTAGGTCATGTGACCTTCATCTTATGATGTATCAGGTTGAAGCCTAATCTACCTATCAAATCTTGATAGCGATGTGGTTTTGCGTTATAACTTACTTGACATACGCGTATATGATTCTTGTGGTGCATTATTCTACCTAATCCCTGCTCTGAGAGGTTTATGTAAGCAGTGCTGTCTGAAAGTGTCATGTCACAATGATATATTTGCATGTAAATAAACTTAGTCTTCATCATTTAGATTTATTGTAAAAGAAAATTGGTTTTTTCATGTATATGTAAGGCTCATTACTGCAGGAAAAGAAGACCTGATAGATTGTTTCATTATCGATTTATTGTTTTATTGATTGGTTTTTAGTTTATCAAAATTTATCAGTTGCGTAAAGTGATTTCAATTATTTTAATAGCCTTTTTTTTCAGGCTAATGATTCATCCTGTTTTTTCAATTTCTTACTCTAAATATATTCCCATGTATCAGCAAAGTGTACATTGATAGATACTGATTCACTTGGTGGATGCATATGTTGTTGTCGTAGGACAGCTGGAAGATGTAATTCAATATTGGCTATTTTTTAAAGTTGTCAAGAGATTGACAACATCACATGTTCTTTCTTGTATTGAACTAGACAATAGGGTAATAATTGACGCTTCAGGGATTAATATCTTCCTAACCGGTTGACAAAAGAGGCAAGGCAGCGAAAACGGGACTTCAAGTGGACGTAGAGAAGACAGAGGTGATGAAGATGCTCAACCAACAACAGCATCAATAACAGGCACCATTAACGGGAGAAACCTTAAGGAAGTAGTCTCTCACCTACCTACCTAGGCAGAATCGTTTCAACTGCAGGCGGCGGAGCAGACGAGGATTTCAAAACCAGGATCGGAAAGACAGTAAGACAGGCCTTTATTGATCTGAAATCACTATGGAGGTCTACTGCACTCAGCATAAAGCGTGAAGAAGATCCGGATTTTAAACACTGATATCAGTCAAGTCAGTGCTGCTTTATGTTTCAGGAACTTGGCGTGTTACGAAAAGCACTTCCAACAAACTACAGACATTCATCAACAGCTGCCCCCTACGCTCACTTGATACTGAAGATTAGATGGCCAGAATGATGAGAATAAGCAACAAGGAACTCTGGCCTACCAATGAACCAACCAAGAGCCTATCACCCAAGAAGTATGCAGAAGAAAGTGGGGATGGATTGGATTGGGCTTACACTAAGAGGGCCGACTGGGGACATCACGCGCCAGGCCAGGCTGTCGAGTGGAATCCAAAGAGTAAGCGACGAGTTGGTTGTCCGAGGTGGGGGCGACATGGAAGAGATCATGTGAGGAAGAAATGAAAGCTTGTGGGCAGTCATGGTGTCAGGTTCAAAAGACTGTAGAGAAGGGAGTGCAATAGAGATGTGCTGCTGAACCCTTATGTTCCATTAGGAACCCAAAGGACAAATATTAAATAAAAATTTCAGTAGTTGGTTCCAGCAGTGAATATGTATTTGCTGTTATCAATTCTGTGCCTACTTCATTGAAGACTATTCAAAATAGGTAATAATCGATGGTTAGGGCAGATGATTATGATTATCATGAAGTTGAATGATTCTACTGATGATCTCACCATTGACTAAATTTGATCGTGTCTGTGAGGCTGAATACCTGTGATTTTTATTTTGGGTTAGGAAATATGCTACTAACAAGCAATATGAGTAGGTAAGAAGCATTCACACAGATCTGCTGATATCAAGCTGTCATCTTATTGGTTGAGAAGTGTATCATCATTCGATTTGCACATTCGATTGTACTACATAAACTTTCGTCATTCTGGAACGCAGAATTACCTTTTTCTTGACCGTATGTTCATCGGGATTAACAATGGTCATCATAGTGAAACTGTATGCAAAGTTGAAGATTACACTAGTGTTATTTGGACGTCAAGTAGTTTTGGACGACGCGATATCGATATAGTAAGTAGTGAATACTGTAAAACATTATTTGCTATGTAGTATGTGAACGGTGATTCAAATGTTTATATGGTATTCAGTCAATGTTCCTTACCTATAGTTGTATCGAGTTGGCTCCGAAACGTTATACAGTGAATAAAGAAAAGAAAGGCATCTTGGCACAAGTGTAATTATGGACAAGGAAGACTAGATCAATAAGGCTGAATTTTTACTCAAAGGCTAAAATGTATGTCAACCAACTGAGACTAACTCTATCCAAAAGTTTAACAACCGGATCTCCAAAACCGTCAAAGAAGCAGCAAAAATAACAAAACATGACAGATCAAAAATGAAATTGAATAGATCTTTTCTTCCTCAGTTTTACGGCAGACCAAAACTATACAGATCACATCCCTCTACGATAAATAGTCTAACTTCCAGTGAAGCCAGCTGACAATCTTTCTGTTGAGTGTTTGAAGAAACTGAAATACTCTGAGGAGTCATGCGAACGCTTCATCGAATCACTGACAGAATTATTTTAAAGGGTAAAAGGCATAAACTTAGAAAACGACGAATTTATGATGTCTTTCGACTTCATAGTATTATACACACATCTTAAACCACAACTGCCTAGGGATAGTATGTCTTCTTACTGATGACACAAGGCTTTCGGAACTCACAAACCTTCAGTTTTCAAGTCTGATGGCACTCATTGACCTTTGTCTGACAACATACTACTAATACTATTTCAGAGGTACGGTATACAAACGGATGAAAGAAACTCCAATGGAATCAACAATATGTGGATAAATTGCAGAGGCAGTAATGCAGAGATAGAAAGTCATTAGTGATCAGACCGATAATTTAGATCTGCCATGTGGGCAATAATTTTGTTATCCCTAGAAAAGAAGAATTGGAAAACACTTACAGTCCGATCATCGATGTTTTTAACGACATCAAATTCACTATGAAGAATGCGTCGAACAACCAAGTGCGATTCCTGGATGCTTTAGTAGAAACGACAACAGAAACCTGGAAATCGAGTGTTCAGGAAGGCAATACATGCTGATCAACTCTTCAACTACAGTAGCGACAATACAACAGTGCAAAAAAAAGAGCTAGGATACACTACAGCACAACAACACGAATATTGAGAGGAAATTACTCGATATCTGTTTTAAAGGAGAGCGGTTACCTTCGTAAATCCATCAAAAGACTCCTATCCAGTTAGTCATCTGTGAAAATCAGGAAATTGATCATTTAAGATATATAGTAAGAGGTATCAGAGATCACGACAAGACTACAGAAACCATTTGGAATTAGTGCAGCTTAAAAAGTAATATGGTCCCTTCAAGCCACATTATGTAAATCAGAGGTTAAAAGATAAGAAGTAGACAAACCTGAGATTATTTACCAAATCAACTGCAACGCTGGACAAAGTTGCCACCCTCTTCACCTTCGTCTATATAAACACTAGTTGTCTATTAAACGTTATGAAATGTCGGTGATGTCAATGTATGTGGACAATCATAAATGATAATACTACCGCAACCGAAGTTTCTACCTTACTTTTAATCATCAACTCCCGTATTCATCATAAAATAGTTTCCTGGCACTGGATGAATAGAAATATGGATACATGTTCAGGTTTAATCTTTATGATGAATACCACACTTGAATACAGCATAAGAAGAGTATGAAATATAAGATGAAAACATGTTACTCAATAGAGCAATGAATTACACGTATTCAAAAACGTACGAATTTACAGAAAGCCATTGTTAACCATTTTAGTACATAAAAGCATGAGCAGCATACATTTAGGAATTTGTCCGAATATCATACATCTCCCTGAATATTAATAATAATAATAATTATTATTTCTCGGTTGGGTTCC